AATTGATTTTAAAAAAATTATCCAAACACTTTCAATTTTATCAAAATTAATTTTTAAAAATTTATTCAAACACCATCATGTTTTAATAATTAATTTTTTTATAATTAATTTTTTTCAATTAAAATTCAAACAGATCTTTCATGTCATTGATCAATTAACTTTATTTAAATTTCAATTATCTTTAGTCATTAGTTCATTTTATTTATTATGTATTTTATTTTTCAATTTTAAATGTCAAATTCAAATTTTAAGGGAGCACTCCATCTGCAGCTTTTCCATTTATCTCCACTTCTCTTCCTAATGCAACTTTGCATCTCTCCATACTCTCTGGTCTCCATCTTGAAGAAATAATGGATGGGTCTCTCTCGACGGTTCGGTGCAAAGTGAGAAACGGAGCGAGAGAGAGACATGGAATATATCTTTCTTCTTCTTAGCACAGCAGAACCCTAGCAAGAGCCAACCCTCTCCTAAACATCTGTTTATTTTCGTCTCAATTTCAACTTTTTCAGGATAGTCTTCATTCCCTTTGCATTTCTCCCTCAAGATGGTTGATACCTCATAACAGCCAATTTTGCTCAACGCTATGCCCTAAAAGCATAGAAGTTGTGAAAATCATATCCCCTCAGGCATGTAAAATTTAATCATGGTGCATTACTAGTTCCTTTTATCTTAAATGAGCTTTCATGTCAAATTCATTACTCTGATATTGTGATGGCTTCTCTCGAATGAGGTTTTTAGTTTCTTCTTTTGTTCTTCTTTTCTTCTTCCTAATCAGATTAAATTCCTTTCATCTCGAAGAAAATGGTGCCGAGGTCTGGGAGAGGGAAATCAAATAAAGCCAAGGTAAAGAGGGAGAAGAAGTAAGAGGAAGGTTAAAAAAGAAAAAGAAAAGAAAAGAAAGGTTAGTTGGAATCTCTTCACCTATAAACATTAATGATGCTAAATGCTATCATGCTTTTTTTTTCACTTTTTTGAAATTTGTTTTTTTGGCTCATTAAGCAATTAAGGTTAACCTAATTTATTTTCTTGTGCTATTTTACCATCCGTGCCTTCTCTAGTTAATATTGATGTTGTCACTCCTTATGATTCTCAAGTTGTTCTCAAGGTTCATATCTATCATTATTTACTCAAAACCAGATAAAATTTAGCCTCTGAGAATAAAAAATTTAGCATTATTAAATCCTCCTTTAATTTGTTGGAAATTTTCTTAAGGGAATCTCTACTGATAAGATACTTGATGTCAGAATTTTCTAAGACTTAGTTGAAAGATACTATACCAAAATAAGGTATGTACGGGCAAGTCATTATTGTTTCATACTTATCCAAATTTTGAAGCATTTTGGACTCTTTCTCACTGGCTATTTGTTAAGATCTCCTGGACTGGTAGCAAGAATTGGGTTCTTGTGAAATGGTACAGAATCAACGATTCATGGACAGTTGCAAGAGTGAAGGTCTCATGGAATTATCCTGGGAATGATGCAGTTATTGCAGGATCATTGGACAATTGGGAAACCACATAATTAATTCATTGTTATCAACACTTTTTGTTCTTCTAGTTCCTTGATTTTAAAATCATAATTTTGATATTTGAAATTGTTCTGTCTTTTCTCTGCCAGTAAGGCTTCGTAGAGACTCGGGCTGTTTTCTGTTGCTGTAAAAACACTCCCAGTAGGTATATGTCATTACCATTTCATTGTTGATGGATTTTTCAGTGATGCTCCAGAATTGCATTGGGCTTGTGATGATTTTTGGTATGCCTATAATATTTTGGATTTGCAAGTAATTCCGTGTTTGATAAATCCCATCTTTACAACTATTCTGTCTGTTTCTGGGTATGCTTATTTAGTCTAGCTTCTTCTTCTTCTTCTTTTGGCTTCTTGATGCAATAGAGAGATAACATTTTAAAACATACTACAAGAGAGATCACATTTTAAAACATACTACAAGTTGCAATAGTTTTTTCTCTTATGATTTCTGATTACTATTGTGTAGTTGTTTTTGTAATGTTTTTCGTTCCTACATTTTTCATGGCTTGGAAAGATGGAAAATCTGGTTAGTGATTGTTATTTTCTAATGTCTCATTTGGTATTTGCTAATTGAGTGATGAGTACTTGCTGATTATTTTAGTTTGCTCATCGAAAGTGCATTCAGCATTGGTGTAATGAGAAAGGAGATACAATTTGTGAGATATGCAACAAGGAGTTGCTTTAGTTGTTACTTATTTTCCAAGTATGAAAGTAGAAGGAAAAAAATGTGGAGTTTAGTATTGCCGCCTCAATAATATTCTTCTATTTACTTTTGCTAGATGTAGTCACAGTTTGAAATTTTTTTTCATATGTATTGATACGTTCTATCAAGCTTAATGTCATGGGCTGAGAGTCTGGCGCAGCACACGGCGCCCGTGCGGCGTCCTGGAGGACCCCATAATCCTCAGGACAAGCCTTACCACATACGGATCACACTGGTTTCGCCCTGCCATGGGCTCATCAGGGAGGCAGCACTAGCCCCCGACCAGTTGTGCACACAGTCTGAAGACTGAGGCAGAACACCCCCAATGCTAATGTCGCCCCCTTTACCCATATTGTGCGAGGCTAACTAGCGGATCGTTCATTATCTTGGTCTTTACACGGTCACGGAGATATCATCGGTGACATTCTCCCACACCCAATCTAGCACGCCCTCATGCTAGGGGAGAACGACTCCGCCCAAGGATCGTACGTACAGTACTGCCACAAACATATCAGCTTACTGCTAAGTGGCCACCCGAGTCCTGCACTCTTCGGACCCACTCGTACCCACGAGCCAACAGGAGTGGAGTCGACAACGGCCAACCTTCCCGCCCGATTCCCCACTTTTGGACCCACCTGCTCGGAGGCCTTTCTGGAGCGGTGCCGAGGCCGACCAATCCCAACGTGGGACCCCACGCGCACACGGCAGTAAAGTACGTCCTGCTTTGATACCACTCTGTCACGGGCTGAGAGTCTGGCGCAGCACACGGTGCCCGTGCAGCGTCCTGGAGGACTCCATAATCCTCAGGACAAGCCTTACCACATACGGATCACACTGGTTTCGCCCTGCCATGGGCTCATCAGGGAGGCAGCACTAGCCCCCGACCAGTTGTGCACACAGTCCGAAGACTGAGGCAGAACACCCCCAATGCTAATGTCGCCCCCTTTACCCATATTGTGCGAGGCTAACCAGCGGATCGTTCATTATCTTGGTCTTTACACGGTCACGGAGATATCATCCGTGACATTAAGCTTTATTACCCATGAAGAACTCATACGCATTTATCACCTTTTTTTTAACAAAAAGAAGCCACAGGTCCATCCCTTGGTTTCATTGGTGAGTTTGCTTCTATTATGCGCTACATTTGTAAGTTCTTGCTTATGTTCAGCCGTTCCCTTTATACATATCAGTATCATTTAAATGCAATCACTTCTTTGCTGGTCCAAAAAAAAACACAATTACTTGACTACTTTGAAATGTTTTTACAGGATATAAAAAGGAGAGCAGAAGTTCTTTCTCAAGGTTACTAATAAGATTATGATATAACCTTTTCAATTAATTGACTTGTTACTTTTTCTGAAATTGTGCTGATCGCTGAATCAATTTCTTATTTTTATTATTTTTTAATCGTCTCTTCCAAAACATGCTTATCAACCGGTGTTCCCACTGACGAGAACAATTGGCTTCCATTTTTCCCAATCATTCATCATAATGTTCCAAATGAGTTACCGGCTCATGCTTAGAGGATGCAATATTTGGCCTCTAAGTTGCAGTTTGGTATGGGGACTTAATGAATTAGTTTTTTCATTGCCAATGAGATGCAAGTTCATGAGACAGTTACTAGCAAGTATGTTGTGTTGGTGCAAATTCTTAATTGTATTCTACATACTTATAAGTTTTAATTTTTTAAATTGCTGGGTAATAGAAGCAGAACTCTTTTTTTTTTTTGGTGGTTACATTCTTACTCTATATATTTTTCTCTTTGTATTTTGCTTGGCTCCTTTCTTTACTTTGCTTTCTTATGTTTAGCCTCAGGTTGTTTATCCAGGATTAGCATTTTGGTACTAGAATGTTCTTATTTGAAGAATATTATACCATGTTATGTTCTTCTGATCCCAAGAAACAATCCACATGTACATCAATTTGATTTTTCCTCAGTCTCAATTTGATTTTTTTTATTTCATCAATTTCATGAATACTATGAACTATATGTCATCAATTTTTTTTATGTTTATTTATGAAATTGATTTAATTTAATTTGAATATTTGAATTTTTTTTGGTTACAGCATGTTAATACCCTTTCCTAACTTGATGGGTACAATGTGCACCCAATGCAAATTCCCACATTACTTTAGTTTATTATAATTCTTTCCCTCTTTCTACATAATTATTTTATTCTTATTTATTGACTTGATATCATTTTATGTTTGTGTGGTTTTAAAGATATCATTTTTTAAGAATTTTTATCAATTTGTGAAAGTCATCTATTGATTCATCATATGATAACGATTTGAACAATCTCCATAATGCTACAAGGATTTTTTTTCCAACGTGGATGATAATTCTTAATAATCAAATATGCTAAATTGATTGTAACTTTATTCCATGGATGGTGATTTTTTTAACATTATTATGTTTAACTTTTATGCATCAATTTAGTCCTATGTATTTCATTTGAACTAAATTGAAATTAAATTTTTTAAAAAAATAATAGAAATAATCCCAATTCTCTCAATAAAAATAGTTGATATAAGAAAAATCAAATGAAAAATATTGAAACTTGATAACTCAAGTATGTTTATAGTTAAACTTTATTTAAACATTAGTTTATAGATCTATTTATACTTAACAAAATTATTTGACACTCCTAATTAGACTGAATATTGTAATCTAATTATTTATTATCTGTGCAATGTATGGAAGGCTAGTCGGATTCATGCTTTGTTTGGTTGGAGGAGAGAGGGAAAGGGAGGGAAATGGAGGGGAAGGGAGGTGAGGGGAGAGGAGGGGAGGGGGAGCTTTTGCAGAGGATTCTCTTCCCATACCAACCAAACATTACCTTGAAGGATCGAAGAATAACCACAACCCCGATTTGTTTTTCTGTTGTGGGGGCGAGTCCTTCAAGGGGCAAAATTGGTATTTGGAAAATTGGAAGCCCTTCTTCCTTTCTCGCAGGCGCCTCTCTCGTCTTCGCAGTCGCACTTCTCTGTTCTCCCTCTCAGCCTCGGGTCTCACTCTCGCTGTCTCAAAAACGCATCACACAGCCTAAGAGACTCAGACTCAGCTCTCGGTCGGCGTCGATCGGCCTCGCCGCCTTGGCCTTCATTCAATTCCACTGTTCTTCATTCTCCAACTTCTTCAATGGTGGCAGAGTTGCAGACTGGGAGTGGGAGCTCGAGCTCGAGGTCGTCTTCGTCTTCATCACTCTTCACTGAGCTCAGAAGCGATCGACGGTTACATTCTTCACTCTTCTCTGACCTTCGTTTTCTTCGCCGTTAAAAACAGTAGCGTCGACCGTCAAGTCTTCACCCTTCTCATTTTCGTCTTATCCTCCACTGTCAGGTTAGATTCTTCGCAATGCTTTCTTTTTTTTCTATGTTATTATACTTTTAACCTCTTCGTTTTGATTACTAGCGACTTATATGCTTTGAATTGTTTTGTTGTGCACCTTTGGATTTGTTGTGTATTGGCATTATGTTTATTTATTTCTTTATATTATCGTCTATTTAGAAAATTCTCAAGGTATTTGTGATGTATGATCTGGTCAATGACTTACTCGAGTTGTGTCTAACAATTTAGAAGCTTGAATTTAATTTGTCATTCTTCATTGCTTGGAGGAGTTGCCTGAATCAATTGCCTTCCTAAGGCGTCTTTGTCAAATTATCTGGAACAAAAATTAAATGAGCTCATAAAAAAAAGTGTAAAATAGGAAGAAAAAAGAATCACCGTTTTAAATAGTGGATCAATTCACTAGGTTTTTTTTTCCTCCTTTCAATAAAACCAGATTTAGACAAATTCATGTTTATTTGGTTTGGATTTTGAAAAACCTAAGTCATGTAACCTGGAATTTTAGGCTCTACAGATGTTTTTGTTTTTGGGGTCTGGAGGTGCTCAATTTTTGATTGTTTAAACATTTATTTTGGACTTTTGATGTCATTGAGTTTTCAAAATTTAACCATGTTTTTATTCCATTCTTAGTTTCTTTTTCAATAACCAAATAAAAAGAAAAAATTCTTCATGCCTATTCTTTTCCATCTTACCAAACATTCTTTGAGTTACAATGTTACCTCATGTCATTCTTTTTTTTTTTTTTCGTTCATTTCCCTTTCCATTAGACTTCTTTCTTACAGCCTAAGGGTCCCAAATGGTTGCAGAGCATCCTAGAAGCATTTGTACCAGACAAACAGTGATCTTGCTTTTACGGTGGAGATATGTTACTTCTATGTCCAATTTGTTTCTGAATCCCATTAAATATCCAAAATTTATGTGAATATTTGGTAATGTTTGGAAGAAAATAAGCAGACATTAGCTACGTTTTGCTTGTGGAATTAATGTAGATAGTCTTGAATTTAAGTTTTGTTATTAAATGCTGAAGTGAAGCTGGTTGAAGTTCTTTAGAGGAGACTTTACTTGTTACACTAGTGCTGCATTGAGTTATCATGGGCATTATGCTAAAATGGATGAGAGCAGTGGTTGAAAAAACACCTGCATAAATGGTATACTCTCATTAGGCTCAAGATTGGAATGAGAATAATTTCCTTAGGTTGGGGTGTTGAAAAAATGGGATGGCATCCATCTGTCTGGTCTATTTCACAGAGCAGACTCTTTATTTTGCTTTTTGTTTTTTGGTTTCTCCTGTTTTCTGTCATCAGTTGAGTTTAACTTGGTTCAATGGTTTTTATGACAGTCATTATTATTCATTTTGGAAAAGACAGCCAATTGCCTATGTTTAATATTGTCAAATTTTGTGGGATCTTTGTTGCTGTGCAAGCCAATTTTCCACCATCATTAATCCCATATGCTGCATTGAGAATTTGTCATTCTGAGACAACTGTGGCTCAAAATGCTTTGGGTAAAAATTTGAAATTGTCACCGACCAGCATGCAAAGTAGAGTTGGAATTTTTTGGGATTTAGACAACAAACCACCCAAGTCATTGCCACCATATGAAGCTGCCACTAAGCTGAAAGCTGCTGCATCTCACTTTGGTGTTGTTAAGCATATGGTGGCTTATGCAAATCATCATACTTTTAGCCATGTCCCTCAAAATGTTAGGGAACAAAAAAAAGAAAGGAAATTATTGAGTCATTTAGAGAACAAAGGCATTATCAGGCCAGATGAACCTTATCTTTGTCGGGTCTGTGGGAGAAAATTTTATACAAATGTGAAGCTTATTAATCATTTTAAGCAAATTCATGAGCGTGAGCATATAAAAAGATTGAACACGATAGAGTCAGCAAAGGGGAATAGGAGGGTGAAGTTGGTTGCCAAGTATTCAATGAAAATGGAGAAGTATAAGAATGCAGCAAGGAGCATTTTGACTCCTAAAGTGGGTTATGGTTTGGCAGATGAGATAAAACATGCAGGGTTTTGGGTTCGGACTGTCTTGGATAAGCCACAAGCTGCAGATATTGCATTGAAAGGTCACATGGTAGATGTGATGGATAATATGAAGGTTGAGTGTGTGGTCCTTGTTTCAGATGATTCTGATTTTGTTGATGTATTAAAGGAGGCAAAATTACGATGTCTCAAGATAGTTGTCGTTGGAGATGCTAATAATGGAACCTTGAAGAGGACTGCTGATGCTGCCTTTTCTTGGGAGGAAATTCTGATGGGAAAGGCAAAGGAGGCAGTATCAGTTGTTGAAAAGTGGAAGGATCGTGATATTTTGAAAAGATTAGAGTGGACATACAATCCAGAGGTGGAGAAAATGAAATGCAGCCTGGATGATATGGTTGCTGAGGCTATTAAGGATGAAGATATTAGTGATACCTGTGATGAAGTTGATGATGCCTATAGCAATAAAGAAGATTCAAATGCTTGGTGGGAATTGGATACTGATGATGAATTCATAAGTAAACAATCAGGAAAATAGTAAGTACTGCATATTCGTCTGATCTTTGACTCGCTGGAGCTCATGCAAGTTTCTTAATTCACCAAATTTTTGGGGGGAGGAAATGCAATGCTTTTTTGGAAAACCAAAAAGTAATGATGCTTAGGTCATCAAATTTGTGAGGTAACATTATAACTCTTTATGAAGTGATGGATATGGCTGTGGTGCATTTCTCTTTGTAAATGAAATTGGAAATTAGTTGATTATCTATGTTCAAAGGAAGCAACGATTTTGTAGGTAGTACTGAAATGATCTGTCATATTGCTATGCCATCCCATCTTTCTATTATGATCCTTACATTGGATTTTGATTTGACATTTTCTTAGAATTTAGATTATAGGCTCAACCTTTGTTTTGGTCCTTAGGCGTGTTACACTATTTATGGCACATAGATATAGATAATGTAGATTTTCATAGTCATTATATTTCATATAGATTGGCATGCATTTCTGTCTCCTTTCAAGAACGGGGTTCATAATAAATAGCATGATTTAAATTATCAAAGACTAGTGTGTTTGTTTGAAGATCTAGAAACTAAACAATAGGGACTTTTCTTGATCACAAAATTATTAATTTCCAAACACCAATCAGAAAGAATAGAATGAATATATATTCTTTGATTGAGTTTATGAAAGCTTTGAAATGGATCACAAAATTGCAGGATTTTGGCAACCTACACAACAAGCATGAGTGTTGTCCTTGAAGACTAAAACGAGCAAGAATGCTAGCATGGTGAAGATGCGTAAAGGCAAATGCAAGGATTATTCTGCAGGATATTTAAAGTTAGAACTTTGGTGGCAGTTGTCTAGTGCTATTGGTAGATGTTTGTTATCGTTGTGTATGTATATGTACTTTGATCATTTATAGGACAAAAAGAAAGTTGTTTTGGTCTTATTTATATGCCAGTTCAATGGTTGTTGTGGTCATATGTACCAATTTGCTTCTATTAAATGGTGGGGAGTTATTAAATGCTAGTGTATTTTGTTTTTAAAATATTTATTTTTAATTGTGGTAAAATTAGAAACTTATTGGACAAGGTCACTACAGATGTAAAGACTTTGGTTGTGGATGATCTGTAAGTGCCTTTACTAGTGCTTTAAGTCAGAAGACATATTGTGGTCTGAGTGAGTAGGGTTGAGTAGATAACCTATGACCTGCCAAACTCGGATGAAATGGGCAGGTTTAAGAAAAAACAGGTAGGCTATTTTTACGAGCTAACTCATATTTAGACTAAATGGTTTGGACAAGCTAGAGTTACCTCTAAAGCAGCCTATCTCATCCTATCTATAGGGGTGTGCATGTTTATGCCCTCTCTAACTTTAAATGCTGTGTTCTATCTCCCTCTCCTTTCCTCCCTTGAATGAAAACCCTCATTTGAATCACACTTGCTCGATCTCTCATTTCCATCGCAAGTCATCAGCTTTGACTCATCGTTGATCGCTCTCGTCATCTCGTCCCTTGTCTCTTCAGGTCTTTGAGACTCCAAATTGAAAACCCTCGCTATCTTTGCATCTTGTTCGTGACTCGTCTCACCTTTTCCATGGCTTCTTAGTTCTCATCTCCCTCAACCTTGGTTGTTTGACATCCCTAAGTGGCTAACAACATAAGAGCAGTGACACCTCTATTATCATATCAAATTGTCTGTCGTGATCTGATCTAAAGCATGGACCTCATCATTCTTGCTCTAGTGTCTAGGTTCTTGTTCATTTTCCCTCTAGCGTTCTTGCATAATTTCGTCTTTTGATGTTTGAACTAGGTTTGCTTAAGTGGTTTTTGGTATTACGAGGTGTTGCTTTCTCTCAAAGTTGTATTTATGAATTTCAGTTTGATTGTTGAAATTCTTCAATTAATATGGTTGGCAAGTTATGTACTTCATCTCTAAGTCTTTATTTGTTCAACTTGATTTTAAATGTTTTGACGGAACATATTCAAGGGGAAATTTCGAAATGTATGCTCTTCGCGGATGATATAGTTCTTATAGCAGATGTAAGAGAAGAGGTTAATTGCAAACCTGAGTTATGGAGGAGGACATTGGAGTCGAAAAGTTTTCGTTTGAGTAGAAGTAAGACGGAATATTTATATTGTAAATTTGGTAAAGGACTATTCGACAATAATTTGGAAGGGAAATTGGGAGATCAAATTATACCTCAAGTGAAAAAGTTTAGATATTTGGGAGCTATTATTCAAAATGATGGCGAAATCAATGGAGATATTTCACATAGAATTCAAGCTGGGTGGTTTAATTGGAGAAAAGCTAAAGGAGTTATTTGCGACCGTAAGGTGCCTAATAAACTTAAAGGAAAGTTTTATTGCACTGCTATCAGACCGGCAATGTTATATAGTAGTGAATGCTGGGCTCTAACGGGATAGTAAGAGCATAAAGTTGGAGTAGCAGAGATGAGAATGTTATGATGGATGTGCGGACATACACGTAAAGATAAAATTTGAAATGAGCACGTACGCGAAAAAGTGAGGGTGGCACCTATTGAGAAAAAAATGGTAGAAAATCGGTTGAGATGGTTTGGGCATGTATAAAGAAGACCAAGGGAGGCACCAGTGAAAAGAGTGAAACATATAACTTTGAGTCCAATTAAGAGAGGTAGAAGAAGGCCTAAGAGAACACTTTTGGAAGTTATTGAACGCGATCTGTTAATTAATAATATTCCTAAAAGCTTGATAAATGATAGAGCACAATGACGTCTTACAATCTATGTAGCTGACCCCACCTAGTGGGATAAAGGCTTGTTGTTGTTGTTGTTTTGAAATTCGAAGGGGCTTCAAATGCTGAATATTGAGCTTAGATTGATTATTTCTTCCAATAGTTTCAAATTTGAGTGTAGTGTCGCCCCGCCCACCAAAAAAAAATGTTGGGTTGTTGTTTGGTAGTGCATAGATATATGTCAATATGAGTAAATAGCTTGCAGCCATATTAAATTCTTTTACTATATTCTTATTTTCCAACTTCTATCCCTCTTACTTTGTGTGTGTGTGTGTGTGTTTTTTTTTTTTAAATAGACATTCGTAAAGAAAAGGGACTAGGGCAACATATTTCAACTCACACGAGTTAGCCTAGCCCATTTTGGTATAAGCCAAAACACGGGCTATTTACAAAAAGCATGGGTATGGGCTACGGGCAATTTCTTGAGCTATGTAACATCATAAATTTTTATTTTTAGATTAATGAAATAATTGAGGTTAAATTTGTAAAATAATGAGTTAATTAAATTAGTTACCTTTTCGGATTACTAATGAGCTTGTTAGACTATTGGACAACATTGGAGTTGAGCTAGAATAGTTTTTGGCCAAAAATTCAAGCCTTGAGTTTGAGCCATCCAACATGATAGACTTAAATTTAATTAAATCAGATGTCAGCTATCGTAAAAATAGAATGGAAAAGGAAGGAAAGAACGATATGTAAAGGGGGAAGAGTTTTGGTCTTCTAGAGTTTGCATGAATAATCACTTAGAAGAGATTTAAGCTTGAGGACATTAAGGTGAACCTTTCCCTTCCCTCTTTTCTCCCCCTACTTGTGTAAGGTTGTTTTTGGAAAGGGGGGCATGATGATTTCATTTCCATGGGTGTTGTAAGCAAACCCAATAACTTTAGATAGAGCTATTGGGAGTTACTTTAAGTTATACACCTAAGATTGTAAATTTTTTAGCAGTGTATGGTTAAGGTTTAAAATGAAACTTTAAGAGTGTTATGAACCATAATCTAGTGTTGTTTGATATTATGGAAACTAAATGGAACTAATGGAAGGTTGTTAATAACTTAATTAAGTTAGAAAGTACCTGTAGAGTTGAAAATTGATGGTTAGCATTTAATCATGTAGATTATAATTGCTCAAAACTTCTTTAAGTTAGAAGAGGCCTGAGAAACATTGAAATTTCACGGGTAACCATTTTTGACCAAAAATGTCACATCTCATTTTTAAAGGCTTTATTTGCATCTCTAGACAAATAGAAAACAATTTTAAGCTATATATGAATCAATTACATTCAACATTAATAATTATAAATAAATGACCAAAAGCATTACATGATACTACTCACAAATTCTTTTAAATTTTCTAAATAATTTTGGAAAATAATTCTAATTAAGTCAATAAATATTGAATTGAATGGATTCTTGTCTCATCATATTACAAATCTACAATTCCTTTATAAGGGAATAATAATAAAACTAGGTTATGAATAATATCCCTTATATTATAATATATTCCATGAACTAAAGGAATTTAATTCATTTTCTTTTTAATTTATTATTATTACTATTATTATTGACTATATAACTTGAGTTATTCTCATTCAAACGAAGTGCTTATGATTTAATTTGAAAGCTATATGGATCCTCTATCACAAAAATTATGTAAATGGGCTTGGACCTAAACGTTTGCCACTGCTTACGTATCCTTAACCACACCTATGTTTGTCTATTATTTTGGATCCAAATTTTATACCTTAACTTGAAAAATTAATATATAAAGTTGTAGAGATGCAAATAATATACTTTTGGGCTTTTCAAAAAGCTTAAAGTGTTGTTAATAAAAGAAAAATTTTAAACTAAACATAACTGAGCCCAATTCATATAGTTAATTCATACAAGTTAAATACTCAAATTGGACACTTAGCTTACTATAGAATCTTTATGTAGACTTTGAAAATTCACCATTAATCCTAGAAAACTCATTTTTCGTGTGAAGATTTATTTGAAAGCTAGATAAGTCTAATATATTCAAAAAATATTTATAAGAATTTTATATGGTCCAATTAATACATTTTTTATATTATCTCTTGATCCCTATTTTCAACCTAACCTATTGATCTCATTTCTGGACTTGCATATTTAAGAAAAATCATATCTTAGGCTGTACTAATTCAAATAACATGACCAAGGTATAAATTGTAGGATGGTGAATTAGTATGTGACATTGGTACATTGATCCCATCAAGTTATTATATAAGTAGACAATATACATTGGCATTTAATAACCTTGGTACATTGTTATAAGTAGACATTGATACATTGTTCCCATCAATTTATACGTTGGTCATTACAACTAATTTAATTCATCATAATCTACCAATGTCACATAATAATTCATCATCCTACAATTTATACTTTGGTCATTACAACTAACTATGAATTTAATTTGATATCTATCCTATTTATTTTATAAGTAGACAAGAGAAGGCATGGTTAATCTTTTAATCTACCTTAAATAAATCTCTTCAGTTAAAATTCTATAAAATCAACCTTGGCTTTTATGGTTAATATATTTTCTAAAATACCCAATGTCATAATTTATCTTAAAAACAATCAATTTAATATGTACTAGTTTGTGGGATGTTACATTTTTCCTCCCTTAATTTAAAATTTCATCCTTGAAAATTGAAACATACCTTATTGAAATAATCTTGGATACCTCTTTCTCATATCCTCTTCAGTCTCCCAAGTTGCCTCTTCTGGAGTTAAACCATTCTAGACCACTTTCACAAGAGAAATGTCTTTGTTTTTCAACTGTTTTACTTTGTTGTTGTTAATGATGCTTTTTGGTTCTACGATATAAGATAGATTATCTTGTAAAGATATTTGTTCATATTCTATGACATGTGAGGGATCTGACTGGCATCTTTTGAACTAGGATACATGAAGAACATCATGAATTTGACTCAAATTGGGAGGTAGGGTTATTTTATAAGCCACAAGACCAATTTGGGCTAAGATTTGGAATGATCCAATGTATCTGGGAGCTTTTTCATTTTAATTGACCGACCAACTCCCATAATTGGAGATACTTTGCTAAGTACATGATCTCCCACTTTAAACTCTAATGGTCTTCTCCTATTATCAAAGTAACTCTTTTGTTTGCTTTGGACAATTGCAAGTCTTTTTTTTTTTATCATTTCCATTTGTTGGGAGGTTTGGTCTACTAT